AATACCCAGTGTGCAGTCTGTACCTAAACTAAGCCCCGCTCCGCTCCATTTCAGGATCAGGCTGGCACGTGCGAGGCTGTGATTCAGACGCTGCCGAGATTCGGAACAAGTAGTTGGAAAGGTTTCCTACCTGAAGAAGATGAGAGGTCGTTCAAGACTTACAGCCTGTTAACGGATCTTCCTTGTAAAAACATAGGCATGGTGCTGCTAATCTGTTAAGGATTCAAGAGCCAATGTTGCCCTAGGTTTGAATCCCCCGGTGTAATAAGAATAGTGCACTTGTCTGAGACTCCGTTTCCTTATCTGTAAAATGGTGATAACTTTTTTCTTAAAAGCACTTGGCACAATTCTTTGCGCAGAACAAATGCCCCAAAATTATGGCTATTACTGAAAAGGTAAGATGTAAAAATAGAATTACAGAATGAGTGCACGCTGTACCTATCGCTTTTCATTTTATTTATACTTTATTTAGGCTCTTGAACCGATACTCTGTTCACACGGTGTAAAATGTTAAATGGGCAAAAGGACGTGAGAAGACAATTTGACTCCTCCGGATACCCTCCTTTTTGACAGCCATTGTGAAGCTTTTTGTGTATCTCTACAGAGAGGTTTTATTTCCAGAGATGCTTACTTATATCTTTATTGGTGTTTTTAAGATAAATAATAGACATTCCACATCTTGCTCTTTTTTTTTTTCATCTACTTGGAGATCTTTCCTAAATAAAGATTGAAAAAAGTGTTGGTCAAATGAGTGGGGCATGTATTCCGACAAAATTAGCTAAAATAAATTTAGGTTTTTCAAGGTCACCATAACAATAAAGATGATAACTGCCTTCTGCACTAAAGTTAGAGATCAGCTACAGTTAGAGATCAGCTACCTCTCTGACACCTGAGACGGGCTCAGAGATGGGGCAACTTGACTAAGCTAACAGCGCTACCAAGTGGCAGAACAAGGAAGGTTTCTAGTTTTCTGACCTTTATTGGGAGGGACCCAAGGTTACATTGCTAAAGAAGTTACTTTTTGAGCCTCTCATTCCTCTAAGGCATGATAGGCGTAGATAGAATCATGGTTACAAAGGCTCCATGGGAGAGCCCAGGATGGATCTGAAGAGTTTTTGAACCTCAAAAGAGTTGCTGGAGTGGCTGGTATGGAGTGCTGAACAGTTGTCATGATTGTTACCTATTGGACTGGTGTCCATTAGGGTCCTTTTAGTGAGTGAGGTGATTCATTGAGATGACAGCAAAACCAGAACTCTATTAAAAGTGTATTCCCTGTGGACCCACATCTATACCCCACCCAACAGGAGCTGCTGAATAAGAGGTTTTAAGCCCAGCCTTCTTTGTCCATGTCCTTGGTCACCACTGCAAGATGGAGACCTAAGATGCCATCTGCCCCTTCTCATTCGTGCATCTCCACCCTGACCCAATCTCCCACCCTTGCCTTTCCATTAACCCATGGTTAACAACCCCCCTGTATGCATAACCATTCTGTTACCTCCTTGCCTTTGTTAACACCTTCCCCGCCCCTGTAATCTGGCTAAATCCCCTCCTCTTCCTCCTCTCTCTGCTACACCTGCCCCCTCATTGGTTGAAGAGAGATCTGACCCTCTCTTGTTGTCCCTCTATCTAAATAGGTTCTGCCATCCTCCGGGACTTCAGTGTCTTCATGAACATTCTCTCCATCCCTTACCTTCCTAATCTTCAAAGATTTCTCCTCCTTCAGTTCCCCCTAACCCCAGAGTTCCCTGATCACACCCAAGATCTCCGCTTGAAAGTTCTTTGAACCATGCCTGCTGCCTTCCCACCCTCTGAGTAGAGTGGACATAGACTGACCACAGTGCTTTGGAGAACCACCCCACTCCCTTGCTCAATCTTGTCAGATCCCCAGTGCTGAACACTGAATCTAGGCCCATGGCCTAGCCACAGTGATTGACTTAGGTGTAACTGGCCAAAATCAGGCCAGTCAGAGCCAGTGAGCACCAGCCTTGGAATTTGGGGATAAGAGAAGCCATCATTTCTCTGATCTGGAAGCCAGGGAAGTACAAGGTATGGTTGGGGGGCAGCGAGTGTTTCCTTGATGAAAGAACTTGACAGAATGAAACCAATCTGAAAGAGCTAAGCCAAAAGACAGAGCAAGAAAACAGCACAATGTTTCCTCCAAAATTAAACATAAGATTAACGTATCATTCAGCAATTTCACTTCTGAGTATATAGTCAAAAGAAATGAAAGCAGGGACTCGAGATCCTTGTACACCCATGTTTATAGCAGCAGTACCAGAGGAAAGGTGGAAGCAACCCAAATGTCCATCAGTGGGTAAATGAGTGGATAAACAAAATGTGGTTCATCCATACAGTGGCATATTATTCAGCCTTAAGAGGAAATGCTGACACCTGCTACAACATGGATGAGCCCTGAGGACACTTTGTGAAGTGAAATAAACCAGTTCCCAAAAAGGACAAATACTGTATGAGTCCACTTATATGAGTTCCTAGAGGAGCTAAATCCATAGACACAGAAAGTAGGATGGTGGGTGCCAGGGGCTGGGGGAGGGGTGGGGGGGAGTCAATGTTTACTGTGGACAGAGTTCTGGAGATGGATGATGGTTAACCCAACAATGTGACCTGCACACTTAAAAATGGCCAAGGTTTAATGTTGTGTATACTTTACAAAAATTTTTTTAATTTTAAATTTTAAAAGATGACGGGGGGAGGGCATAGCTCAATAGTAGAGTACGTGCTTAGCATGCATGAGGTCCTGAGTTCAAGCCCCAGAATCTCCATTAAAATAAATACATACAAACCTAATTCCTCCTCCCTCAAAAACAATAAGTAAAAAAAAAAATTTAAAGAGGAGGAAAAGAGCAAGAGTGGAATCACATTGTGGCCACATCTTTTGAGCCCCAGAATGTTGAGACTTGGGGAAAATAATGCACATAGCCGTGCACAGTGATGCTATCATTTGGGCTGTGTGTAGGACCCTGACCACCTTGAAGGTCATCATCTTCACCCACTGGGACCCTCCCTGCCACCCTGATATTCCTGCTGCTCTTAATGCTTGCTCTCGCCTCAGAGCAGCTGTTTGTGGCTTTGATCAGCTTGGCCTTCTTCCCTTTTTGTCCTGAGAATCAAGACTTGCCTTTGGGGAGTCACCTCTCTGCTGCTTTTTCCCATCTCCCAGTCTCTGCCCAGAGCCTGTCTGTTCAGAACTCCTGGCCCAGAGACTGGTTCAGAGATGGCATTTCACCAAGACCAGCCAAAGGAGAGGCAACTCTGGGACTTCCCTCTGATCATCTGAGAAAAAGAAGTTCTGTTGGGGCCACTGGGTTGGGAGGATGGAAGGGCAGGATATAGTTTGATGTGTCCTTTCACACTTTGTTCCTTCCTTCATTCAAGCACCCTCTCACCCAAGGGCCTTTGCACTGGCTGTTCCCTCTGCCTGAAGCACACTTCCCGCAGTATTCAGAGCTCCCTCCCTCCGTCCCTCACTTCTTTCTGCCCTCTGCTCCAGCATCACATCCTCAGAGAGCCCTGCCTACCCTGACCACCCTTTCTTAAAGAGCATTACCCTGTTAACCCACTTTATTTCTCTTCAAAGTATTTATCACTGCGGATTTTGTTTTGTTGTTTATTATCTGTCTTCCTTGCTAGAGAGTGAACTCTGAGACCAAGAACAGGGTTCCTGTTCATTCCCTTATATCCACTACATGAAGTGCTTGGCTTAGAGCACTCGAAATGGCCAATGCAAGGAGCGCTTATGTATGGGTCAACAACTGCCTCCCCCTACCCTGTGCCCAAGTCAGTCCAGTTTCACAGGTAGGTAATATATTGTTTATCCAATCCTAAGTCTACAGCCTGGTAAATCTTTGCAGAGTATACATCTGTGTAACTACCACCCCACTCAAGATAAGGAACATTGTCAGCACCCCAGGAAGTTACCTCCAGCCAATCACCAGGCCTCTTCTTCCATCATGTTCTAAAATCTTATAGAATTGAAAGGCATCTTTGTGGCTGTTCATTGCCCGGGCCACTATGAGTTTTCTGCCAGCCTGTAACTGGCTTGAACACCTGTGCCTGCTTGCTTCTTTTCTAAAAGGGCAGCGGTCCTCTCCCCCTGGCCTGGCCTCATCCTGGATCATTCTGGAGCCATATGTCTCAGAGAAGCAAACTGCAAAACTGAACGCCCACCACCAGAGCAGAGAAGAGCTTGAGTAAAGTCTGCTGATAACTCACAGACTGTCTCTGGGTGCCAGAGGAGCTGGCTTTGGAGGGCTTCCAGCCAGGAGCAGCTGCTGGGACACAGTGAAAAAACCATCGCATGGATCTGCTCTTGTGGAGCTGACCTAGAAGTGGGGGAAGGCAATAAACAATGAGCGAAGTATATCCTATGTCCACAGTGGCAATGGCGAAAAAAATTGGGGATTGGTGGGCAGGGCTGGGATGGCTGCAGTTTGAAGTCAGATGGTCTGCAGGAAAGTCCTTCCAGGGAGTCAGACGACCTTGTCAAGCAGTTTGCAGGATGGAGGATGTTCTAGGCAGAGGGAACAGCCAGTGCAAAGTCCCAGAGTTTGACTGTGCTTGTGGAAGGAGCAGCAAAGATCCCCAAGGTCTGGAGGGAGGAGGGGAGCAAGCACCATCCAGGAAAGGGTAGAGAGGTCCTGTAGGGCCCTAGCGACCCACCTGGGGACAGTGGCTTTCACTCTGGGTGCATTGAAAGCTATAGAAGAGATAGGACCCCTCCTGCATCACTTGTGTACATGCGCTCAGGTCCTTGCTCCTCTCCGACAACCCCAACTAACACTAGCTTTCCACCTGCACCTCACACCTCAGAGAGCCTAGGGAAAAAAGAAAGAACCCCCACGACCCTTGTAACATTCCTTGTTCACGCAGTGCTCTCCCATGCTTTGTGCACAAAGATGACTTCTCACACCTTCATTCTCTCAGCTTCCCACATCTCTCCACGCACTGCTCTCTGCCGATGACCTTCCGTCTTATCTGAGCAAACAGTTGTTCCCATTCATATTCTTCCACCACGAAAGCCAGGAGTGCTTATGCCCACATCCCTGCCTTCCCCCGTTCCAGACACCCCTCTCTGACTCTCCCCACGTGCACTTTTTCTCCTTCTCCTCTCCCCGGGGCTCAGACCTGCCTCTCTCTCTCGAGGGCAGATGGTCTCAGCCAGTCCTGGGACTTAAAAGACCACCAAAAAACTGGGCACTCCCGATGGCCTGTCTCCAGCCTGTAAGTCCCCCTGAGGTCCAGACCCACCTGTGCAACCATCTATGTGACAGCTTCCCTTGGAGGTGTATTCAGGGAGTCCAAAATCAACCTACCTGCCCGGATCCCTTCGGGTCCACTTTATCGTTTCTCTGCACCCTTGCCAGGGCTTTGTGTGCTTTTGCTCAACTGCCTGTACCTGCAACTCTTCTTCAGAGAACTGCCGCTGGGCTCTGGGCCACGTTGCCAGTGCACACTCAGAGAATCAGAAGTGCCTGGGAGCTTACATTTCCCCAGGCTGCCTTTAATCAGGAACTTAGTGCAGGATGGCTTGGAGACATCACTCATCCTCCGGAGCTCCCCACGAGATCAGGCGATGTCTGCCCTCTGCAGGACTCTGCCTGGGCTTGCCTTCTCAGCACTGCTTCCTCCTGCTTCTTTGGCGTCTTTCACATTCCATGTGTAATCAATCAGATCATCTTCTCTTCCAATTATATCCCAGACTGCATACTTTTCATCCCCTTCACCAAGACATATCATCATGTACCCAGATTAGAGCAATAGCTTCCTCACTGGCCTCTCGGCTTCTATTTTGCTAACACTGTGCACTTCCCCAGGCCAGGGACTGTGCCCAGCTGTTAACGTTCATTCAGCTGCGTGAATACTGAGTGCCTGCTGTGTACCAGCACTCCGTCCTGCCCTGGGATAAGGTACTATAGAAGAGGCAAGAACCCCTGTCCCCTCTGAGCTGACATCCTGAGGATGGAGGCTGACAATGAGCAAGGGAAAACACAATGAAATACTTGCAGATTGTGACAAGCACCACGAAGAAAATAAACAGGGTGACGCCATTGCCAGGAGAAGCCAACTTTAGATGAGCAGGGAAGGCTTCCTGGAGGTGATCTCTGAGCTGAAAGCAGGACCGTGAGGAGCTAGCCATGGAGTCAGGTGGAGAGCATTTTAGGCACAAGACCTGGGGCCCTGGCAGCTGGATGAGTCAACAAGGAGGAGTAATGGGGCAGATGGGGCAGGGCTGACTTTGGCTTTCACTCTGAGGCAAATGGGAGCCATGGAGGGTTCTTGAGCAGAGGAGGGATGGAATTCACTCAAGGGTTTGCAGGCTCCCTTCTGTGCCTATGGGGGAAACAGTGAAGGGGTGGATGACAGGAGCTGGGGACCAGGACAACAGACTGCACTGGTCTCAGGGAGTGATAATGAGGGCTGGGAGCTGAAGATCTGGGGAGAAGTGGGCAAGTTGAATAGTCATTTTGGAGGCAGGGCTAACAGGAGCTGGGAGTAAGAAAGAACAAACTCAAAGACCTAGGTGAACAAGCAAACCCTGTCTGTACAGGGTAGAGGGTGAGGGCTTTGGGATCAAGGAGACGAACTTCTCAGCTCCTTTTCTACTGGACAACCTGAGACACATTGCCCAACTTCCCTGCCTTAATTAATGAGTGGGGAGAGCATGTGTGCAGGTAAGAATTTCTCCCCAAATGGTAGCTATTCCAGAAGAAATTCCGGGGTCAGGGATGTTGGTTGCGGGGAGAAAGGCAGTTAACATGGTTGGGCAGTTGGCCCAGAAGCGACTGTGACAGACAGCTGGCACCAGGGGGCAGTAGTGAGCCTCCAGGCAGCAGGGTAGGATGGCTTTGCAGGTTTGAAGCCCCTGGACTAGACTGTGGGTCCCAGATGCCTTTGCCCAGGACGGGGACAAAGCAGGCCTGGGGGCACGTGTCCAGGCTTTGTGCCGAGAAGGTAGGCAGGTCATTGCAGCCTTCTGGAGTCTACAAATCAGAACCTAATAAAGGGCATCTGTTCAGGAGAAACTTGAGCTGCCTGCAGGGTGGAATTTAGGTGGAGACGGGCCAGCAGACAGAGGGCTTCCTGCCCTCCCTCCTTCCCCTGGGGAGAGTCGCCCCAGCTCAGAGGATCCCAGGGCAGTTAAAGCTGGGGTTCCCCACTAGCCTCCCACTCCCCCAACAAACACTCCAGGCCCAGGCTCTGTACAATAGGCACTTTATTAGTGGTTGGAATGCAGTTACATGTAGGGGTGTGCAGACAGAATGGGGGAGGAGGGGCAGCAGGCACAGGAGACAGAAACCCCAGGCTGGGACTTCTCTCTCTCTGGGATCCCAGATCCGGGGGCCTTGGGATATGGCGAAGGGGGAACTGGGACACCAGTTCCCCTGAGTTTAACAAATTTGGCAAATTACACTCAAGGCGAGGTGACTGGGCAGGGAGGCCCCATTTGCCCATCTCCTCTCCCCCTGAAATCCTCCCTTCAGTGGATTCAGTTTCTTTTCTCTCTTACAAAGAGAGCTGTGTCAATAACTGGCATAGAAAAGGGGGAAATTCGGTCCAACCCCGCCAGCCAGCCAGCCAGCAGGTTTCCATTAAGCAGTTATTAGCAACCTCCTCCCTCCTGCTCCACACCAGCCGCCCTCCCCCAACAGTCCCACTCCCTCTTCTCCCAACAACATCTCCCGCTACTGCCTCCTGTGCCAGGGGACACCCCCACCTGGGCACACACACTCCCACCCCGTCACATCCAAGGAAGGGACATCGGAAAGCATTCCTTAGCAGCCCCAGCTCAGCCGTGAAGACAGAAAAAAGTTAATAGACCCTTTAATGCAAGTCCAGGCTGAAAAAAAAATAATAAAGAAATTCCTGGAGTGGCAAGTAGCCAGCTGCTCAGCCCTGGAGAGGGTCCTGGCATCCTGGTCAGAGCACATAAGTGAATGGGGGGGGCCTTAGAAGCTTGAGCTGACTATGGCCACCGCTCCTGCAGATGCAAATGTTGTCCTGTCATAAGAGGGAGACAGGATGCGGGAGGCAGAGGACAGAGGCCAACCCCCTCGCTGGGCTTCTTATCTGAGCCGGGGGCTGAAGAGACTCATTGCACTGTCTTGGGGGGGGCCACCGTGAAAACTCCAACTGGCCGTTGGCATAGGGAGATGCCCCAATCCTCCAGGTTCCCGGAAACTGGTGGTAACTGGATGATGGGGGGCGGGAAGGGGCGGCAGTGATAGGACATCAGGTAAGCCCGAGGGGCCGGGGTTCTGATCCGGCTGCCGAGCACCCGCTGTGAGACTTCCGGGGAGGTGTGGGAGGGCGGGGCATTTAGGACTCTGCCGGCTTCTTGTTGGTCTTTTTCAAAAGCCTCTTGAGGGTGGGAGACATGAAGTAAGGCCTCTCGGCCGTGCCATCGTTCCTCTCCAGGTCCTCCACTGCAGAGAGAGGCCCCAGAGCAGGCGGTGTGAGCAGGGCCCACGGGCAGGGGCCTCCGGGGACAGGGCGGGCGGACGGGGGCCACAGAGAAGCCTCAGAGGGTTAGGAAGCAAGAAACACGGGGATGGGAGGTGGCAGACTGGAAACGGGACACACACTCGCTCCCCACTCCCAGGCCAGGAAGCCCCCACATGCACCCCGGGTCTACAGGGAGGAAACGAGGAGGCCTGCCTGGCCCCCAAGCCAGCCTCCCCTTCTACTCCTCCACGTCGGCCCGCTTCCCCTCCTCCGCACTCCCCTTCAACAGGATGTCTCTCAGCTCGGGCGACATGAAGTAGGGTCGCTCCTGAGAGCCGTCATTCCTTTCCAGGTCCTCACCTGGGCTCCCCCCAGGAACCAGCAGGAGGAAAGTGGGGTAGTCAGGAAGGGAGGGGAGGAGGGAGGCAGGGAAGAACAGGGAAGCCAGCAGGCATGGAGGAGAGGCAGAGAAAAGAGAAAACAAAAACAAAAGAAAACAACAAAAAAAAACAAAACAGACAGATGGAGAGACCAGAGTTAGTGGCAGCCACAGATCCCCCCAACAAAGCCAGAAACTCCAAAGCTGAGGGCCCAGGGGCAGAGAGTTCCAGCCACAGCCTGGACCCGGGGACAATAGGATGGAGCAGCTCTGAGTGCAGAGGGAAGCCATGGGGGCATGCCGGGGCCCTAGGATGAGGGACAATCAGGCCCTGGGGTGGCTGGGGGCACCAGGCATGCCAACGTGTAGCCCCATCGGAGGGAGATGTTCTGCCCAACGGGGAGAAGGGAGTCAGGGACCATCGAGGGTCAGGGGAGGGGTCACTCACAGAAACAGAGGAACAGTGTATCCACACACATTCCGTAGACGCTGAAGAAGCCGTGCGCAATCAGGTAGGAGCCGATGATCACCGTCTGGACAGGAGAGACAAGCTGTTCCCACCCCTGCTCCTGCCTAAGGCAACCCTCCTGGGTTGGAGTCTCGCCATTTCCTTGCTGATAAGCCCCTCCTCTGAGGCCTTCCTCTGGCTCCAATTTTATGCAAGTTTAAGACATGACAGGTTTAACGCTAGTCTGTGTCTATCCCATTTATTGCTAGATCCCCGGACATTTGGAGACTCACAGAACCTTGCTAGGTACCTGTAAACATTTACGGGCTGAAGTGAGTGGACTTCAGAGATTAAATAACTTGGCCATAGTCACTCATCTTAGAACTAGCAAATAGAGAATGAAGATAAAAATCTAGGACACTGGGCCCCAAGGCCTGCTCTCAGATACCGTACTGCCCTTTGAGTGATGCCTTAACCCATCCACGGCCTCATCACCTCCCTGCCCCTATCTCCACATCCTCATCCCTTCACTACCTCCACACCAGCCACATTGATTTGCTCACTGTTCCTGGCATAGTCCCTGCACGTCCCCTCTGCTTGGATGTTGCCTGCATTGCCTTCAGATCTTAGATGTGACGTAACTTTCAGGGTGAAGCCCCCGGACTCCCACGCCTGCCCAAATCTTCCACCACAAGCTCTAATAGTCAGTTCCCTGTAATTCTGCCCTGCGGCACATACAAGTTTGCAATCACACATCAGCATCAACTAATGTTTACTTATTCCTGCACGGTAAGGCCTCTTTCCTCATAAAGGAAAAGGTCCATCTCATGCCTGGAACAGAGGACGCATTTAATAAATGTTTGTGGCCTGAATTAATCACCAGTTCCCCGCCTCTGAACCCCATCCACATCTGTTTATTTTTTGAAGGGGGGAAGGTAATTAGGTTTATTTAGATATCTTATTATTATTATTATTATTATTATTATTATTATTATTATTATTTGTTTTTGTTTTTAGTGGAGGTTCTGGGGATTGAACCCAGGACTTTGTGCATGCTAAGCATGTGCTCTACCACTGAGCTATACCCTTCCTGCCGATCCATATCTGTCTAGTCAAAGGAGGCCAGGCGAGTTCCAACAACTCCTTCTCCCCAGACCCCTGTCCATCCCCAAAGGTTCATACCAATATAGGGACCCAGTAGTAATTGAGGGGTGGTGCTGTGTCCTGCACGATCCTGATTCGATGGGTGAAGAAGAAGAAAGCCAGGATTCCTGGAGAGGGATGAGGGTTCTGGATAAAGGAAGTAGCCCCCACAACAAGACCCCAGGGGAGAAGATACTCATCACAGAAAATGTGGGGGCCCAACAGCAGTTCACAAGTGTCCGCAACAGGCTCCCTGCAGCTGGACAGGCTGGGTAAGCGGCACTCACCCACGCTACCCACGATCAGAAGTTTGCCCAACAGGAAGAGGAAGTCAGTAACTTTGTCCAGGACGGCCACTCTGCAGGGGACAGAGGGAAGCAGGCATGAATGATGATTCAGAGCCCTGAGGAGGAGGGAGTTGCTGAGAGGGTGTTTTCCCTGACCTGATGATGTTTCTCATGAGCAGGAAGAAGGCATTTCTGGCCGAGGTGCAGAAGTTGGTGCCATAGATGGCAATCTGGAGGGAGGTGGGAGGGATGAATCAGGCCCACCGGGTGGGAAATCAGGGCTTCTCCCACCCAGCAGGAGCTGCGGGATTACTTCCTGGTCCCAGGCCTACTCACCATGATGTAGGCATTTCTGTTGAGGAATTTGATGAATTTCTCCAGGCACCAGAAACAGCATTTGAGACAGGTCATGAGGAACTTGGCAAACTTGTTCTCCGCAGCTGGCAGACAGGGGAGGGATGCAGCGGTGAGAGGGGACCCCACTAGCCTGGTAAGACACCCCCCAGACCTCCTCCTTACAGGAACTTGCTACAGCCCTGGACTCAGAGCCCACCTTCTCCAAGAGAAGGTGAGAAGAGACTTGATCCAGGACCCTTGGGGTCCTGCCCCACACCCTAGTAGGAACTAACCTGGGCTGGGACCCTCAGCCCCGCCCCCCTTTTTAAAAAGGGGCACTCAGCCCAGTCTCCAAGACAGGGCTCAAAGACAACCCACAACACCACCCCAGCCCCACCTTCCTGACAGAAGCCAATTCTTTTTTTTGACAGAAGTCAATTCTTGATGCTTCTCTGGCTCTACCCAAAAGGTCAACCAATCCCATCCCAACCCTCTCTTCAGAAGCCAATGGTGGTTCAGGACTCTTGTTCCTGCCTCCTCAGCAATATGAACACCACTCATTGGGCTCTCAGCCACGCCTCCATCATAGGAACCAATCACTCAAGCCCCTCAGCCCCACCCTTTCCCCCTCTTTGGCAGGAACCAATCCCTGCCTCACCATCTTAACCCCACCCCCACACAAGAACCAATCCCAACCTGCCCCTTAGCCCCGCCTACTATGGGAGTCAGGTCCAACCACATGTGGGCCATACCTTTCAGGCGCTGATCCAAGTATTCCAGCATCACTCGGATGATCTGCACAATGGCCAGGATGAGGGCACCAAAGGCCAGGGAGCCTGTATGATACCTTTGGGCCAAGGGGGTGGTCAGTGGCTAGGCCAAGACTCTTCCATTCCGTCTCACTCCCACTCCCAGCCCATCTGGGACCCCACCTGAGCGCCCGGCCGAAGGCAGAGAAGAGCGGGAAGGCAGGTAGGTCATCCGGCTTGTTCAGGGCCCAGTAGTAAGAGGCGAAGGCCCCAGCCAGCGTGACCTGGCCCAGCGCCAGCACGAAGTTGGCCAGCCAGAAGAACATGAAGACATTGAAAATCTGCAGGCCCAGGAGGGCTCGATGGTAATTTGACTCACCACCATAAAAGGCGAACTGACAGTAGGCACCAGGGCACAGGCGGGATTCGTTGGAGGAGGGGAAGGTCTGTGGGAGGGACACAGAGTCACATCATAGGGGCTGGGGTTCAGAGTAGGCTCTGGGCATCAGGTCCTGATCAGGTAGACAGTAGGGTGGGACGGGAGTCATAAGGATCAGAGTTAAGTCAAGAGATTGGGGGCTTAGGATAGGGGCTTGCAAAAGGGGTTCTAGAAGAAAGATTAGGGTTCATGGTTTCAATGGGCATCAGTGAGGTGGCACAGGCTATCTCGGGGCTCAATGGAGTGACCATGTGGACAGATCATGAGTGGCAGACATCAGTATGAGGACCACAGGGGTCAGGTTAGGGCCTTGTGAAAAGCAAGGAAGGGGTTCTAGAAGCAAGAACTGGCCATTAGGGTTAAGAGAAGGGTGTGGGAGCAGGAAATGAAGTCAAGGGAGAGAAAGGTGGGTGGTTCAGCACTTGGGTGGGGGCAGCTGCCAGGTTGAATCCTTCCCTTCCATGCCCCCAACATCCAGCACAGGACATACAGCAGACACCAAATGTTTGTTCAATGGTCCCAAGTGGAGATGAGAGGCTTCAGATCATCTGTGGGCTGCTAGGGAAATAGCCATCCCCCCACCTCCGAACACCCACCTCAGGGTTGCAGGTTTTCCCAGCAACTGAGCAGGCAGTGTCACTGAAGATCTTATAGACGGCTTCGTTGGAAGTGGACAGGAAGCTGGAGGCTTGTTAAGGAACCCAAGGTCTGGGATTAGGGATTCCAGGGGCACCTGGGGAAGAATCCATTCCCCCACCACGTTCCGGCCTTGTCCTCAAGCTGCAGGTCACCTCCAAGTTAGGCACTTAGCCACCCCCAGGGTGGGAGATCGGGGTCTGACAGTGGATACATAGCCGTGCTAGCCCAGTAGGCGATGCAAAGACACAGCAGGAAGAAGGTGACCAGTGGGTACAGCAAGGAGCACATGACGTATCCCACAGCCCTGTGGAGGAACAGAGACACAGGCATCAAGGCCAGAGCAGCCCTGGGACCACCCTAGCCCGATCCCCTGACACCCTGGCACCCACCTGCTGGCTTCTTTGATGAGTGCAATGGCGATGAGAATTCTCTTCCGTAGAAAGATGAGCAACAGGATGATAATAACCTCGAGGATGCTCAGAATGATCACTGCAGGGGGCAGAGGGTGACCGAATCTGCTACCTGCCTGGGATCCCCACCCAGGTCTCACTGGGGGCAGGAGTGGGGAGCTGGGACTCACTGAAGGCCATCCAGGTCTGGCGCAAGTGCAGGTATACGCGGAGGTCTGTCTGGAAGCCAAGGTCCACCAGGGAGATGTCGGAGCCGGCCTCACCACGCAGTCGAGCGTACTCCATGTAGCAATGAAATATTCCTGCATGGGGGAACCACTGTGCTACGACTGCCCTCAGCCCACCAACTGCTCCCCAGTGTTGCAAAGCAGGTACAAAGCCACTCCCATTTAACAGAAACAAAAACCAAGGCTGAGAAGGGTTGCCACTGCTTGCTCCTGCCTCAGGGCCTTTGTACTTGCTGTTCCCACTGCCTGGTACAGTCTCTCTGCAACAGGGTCCCTCACATCCTCCAATCTCTGCTCAAATGTCACCTCATGAGACCTTCTAGGATCCCTTCTCCCATGTAGAATCAGACCCTCTCACACTCTGATTTCTCATCTCCCTTCACTGCTTTGACATCCAAGAGGATTTCTGGTAGGTTTCTTGTCCATCTTGCCCATATCCTCAGGAATCTAAGCCCCATGAGAGTAAGGATTTGTCCTGTTTTATTCATTGCTATGCCTGCTAAGCCCAGGACCTAGAAAACTGCCCAGAAAACAGTAGTCACTCATTAAATGAATGAATGTCAGGATACTGTGTGGTCTGAGACTTTACTGACCACTTTGCCCCCTTGTATAATGATTCATGGGTGAGGGGGGAGGATATGGGTGCTAACATTCAGTGGGGCAGCTTTAGGAATTTTCAGAATTCTCCTTAACTCTCTGTAGAAGAAAATTATAAAACACAGATAAGTACCAAAAAATGAGTCACCTAAACTGCCAGCACCCAGACAGAAGCCACTATTAATATGAATATTTTAACATCTGTATCCTCTGATTGGGTTGCATGTCTGGCATCTTTCCTCCTGGAAAGTTTAAATAAATAAACAGAACAGGAGGCACTGGGTTCTGAGCATGGCCTCTGGGTTCCACAGGCCTCAGATCTCCAGGGCCCTCCTCCATTTCTCCTGGACACTATCTTCTTCTCATTAAGCATCCTAACAAGTAAATACTAATTATGCCCATTTTATAGAGGAGGAAATTGAAGCATGGAAAAGTTGAGTCTCTCGCCCAAGGTCACAGAGCAAGGAATTGGCAGAGCCAGTGTTTGAAACCCTGGACTTCCTAGTGTCACAGCATATGGCCTTAACCACCGTGCTAAATGGTCTGCTTGAGAAGGCCTTTACTCTTCGATGAAATACAGATCCCCTCCTATTTTGGAAGATTATGATTTAACCCATCTCGCAGGGATGAGCACTGAGGTTATTTCCAAGGGTCTGCTCTCATAAACAAAGTTGAGATAAACATCTTTACAAATATTTCAGATCAAAGATGGAGGATGCCTGATGGCTCAGGAGAAGATTCTCCATGGGCCACTGACAGCTCAAAGGGCCTAGGCATTTTGCAGACGGTGGGGAGGGGAGGGCGCAGGGAAGAAGAGACGCACCATAGCCCAGCACCAGAATCACCATGACGATCATCACCCAGACCATAATGCCAGCCAAGAAGCGGAGCAGGACGATGAACAGGAGGCTTATCACCATGGCGATGACCAGGCCTCTGGGGGATAAAATGAGGGCATGAGCGGACCCTTTCCCCTCACCAGTCTCAGACAGGGCAGCCCAGGGAGGGCTACCTTCTCTCTCCACTTACATGACAATCCAGTACCAGGAGACGGTGTAATCTTCAAATATCCGCATGGCCAACTGTCGGGCCTCCAGGACTCCATTGGCCTTCCTGGGGGAAGACAGACGAGGATTAGGTCAGACCTGCCTCCCTTCCTGGGCCAGCCCCAGGGGATGCCCTGTCCCACCCAAGAAACGTGATGTGGGCATGGTAGGTTATGGTCCTCACTTGGCGCCTTCCACCAGCTCCGTAATGTTTTTCCGAGCACCGAGTCCATCCTCATAGGTCGTCTCGTTGCCCACCATAAGGACCCCTTTGTGGGTATGGATGGCAGGGAAGCATCGCTGGGCCACTGCATGGAGCAGGGGATGGGACCAGTCAGGCTGAGCCCCTGAAACCTCCCCATGCCCCTCCTGAGCTCACGGGACCACCTGAGCTCATGGGACCCCAGACTCACAGGGTTTGCTGGGGGTGAGGACAGCGGGGCAGTCGCCATCCCGGAGCACCTCAGCCACACCCTGCCAAGAGAGAGGGAGTGGGTTAATTCTGCAGGTCGGCACTCTCTACCTGCCCCTGCCCGGGCTCCAAGGACAGCCACCCGCTTACCTTGTTGTTCTTAAAGCCAGGCACACAGAACTGCTTGTAGTATTCAAAGTCCTGGGATTTGTGAGCATTCAGGTAGGTGAGGTAACGGTTGGGGCATTTCTCCACACAGATCTTGGAAGGGCAGAAGGCAGGATTGGGTAGGGTCAGAACGGACACCTGATCCCCTCTCAAGACAGAGGTTCCACCTCCCCCCCCTTATTCACCAGGGAGAGAGAAAGGCCTGGGATTCACCAGGGAGAAAGAACGGACTGTGAGAGAAGCTCCGGCTATAGAAGGAAATGGACCTGATGATGGAAGGAGGGGTGAGGGGACGGGAAAGAGGCTGGGAGGGGACAAGTTACCTGTGGGGTGGGACACTGGAATTCCAGCAGGACCAGAGGGCTGGCACACTTCACAATGTTGAAATAAAACAGGTAGGGTTTGTTCCTGGGGTTGGGGAAGGGAGATGGAAACTGTCAAGACTTCTTAGTCAGCCTGTGTAATATACCTTAATGAAAACAACAACAACAGTAGCAGCAACTCCATGCTGGGTGCTGTTGTAAGCACTGGGCATGTATTGGCTCATCTAACCATCACAACAGCCCCATGAGGGTGAGACTCTCATGATCCCCACTTCAGAGATGAGGAAAATGAGGCCCAGAGAGGTTGAGACACTTGTCATAGGTCACACATCCAGGGAATGGCACAGCTTAGATTAAACCTGCTCTTTACCTCACCTGTTCATCACCACCTGACATCAGACTGGGGACTATCTCCTCTCTGTCTTCCCCCTAATATGTGGGCCAGCAGAGGACAAGGCTCTGAATGTCTCATTTAGTGCTGTGTCCTAGAGCAGAGGCTGGTGATGGCGGGAGTTTTATAAATACTTGTTGATCAAACTAGTGGATGGATGGAGGTGGGGGAAACCTAGAACCTTCTCCCCAGTGCTGATAAAGGTCTCTCACCCATTCCTCCCCAGCCCCAGCAAGCGCCAAGGAGACAGACTCACGCGTTTTTTGTGCCCTTCTGCCCGCAGAACTCGCCTCGGCTATCAGTGGGGTAGATCACCTTTCGAGGGTCCCCATGGGTCCAAGCTGTGGAGGGATCCAGGGATGCTGAGGCACTGCCACCCCTTAGCACCAGCCCCACTCTGCCCCAGAGGCTATGGCTTGCCCTCCCACCCTGGAACCCCAATACCCTCCCCTCCTCTGCTCACCTATGATGCCTACAGCCACATAGCCCACAATGGCCAGGAGGAGGAACACACAGCAAATGATATCTGTGCAGCCCCTGGGGAGCAAGGGACCACATCAGGGTGGGAGTACTGGTGTCCTGTATATCATGAATTCATCCTACCTTGCACACATACACATATCCAAGGGCTATTTGGACACATGTTCCTGAAGGGTCAAAGGGCACGTGTATTTTAAATGTTAACACCTTTCACTGCAGCACTAGTTACAATTGTCAAGATATAGAAGCAACTCAAGTGCCCATCGATAGAAGAATGAACAAAGAAGAAGTAGTGCATATATATACATATATAGGAATGTAATATATAACACATATAATATATAATGGAATACTACTCAGCCATTAAAAAGAGTGAAATCTTGCTATTTGCAGCAACATGGAATGGACTTGGAGGATATAATGCCAAGTGAAATAAGTCAGAGAGAAACAATGTATGTTATATGTAAAATCTAAAAAACAAAACAAATGAGCAAACAAAACAAAACAGAAACAGACTCATAGATGCAGAGAACAAACTGGCAGTCATCAAAGGGGAGGTAGGGGGGACAGAGGAAACAGGTGAAGGGGATTAAAGGTGCAAACTTCCAAGTATAAAATAAATGTCATGGAGATATAATATACACATCAGGAATATAGTAAATAATACTGTAACAACTCTGTATGGTTACAGATGGTAACTGGCCTTATTGCAGTGACCATTTCATAATGTATAAAAATATCAAATTACTATGTTGTATAACTGAAATTAGTATATTATGTTAGTTATAACTCAAACATCCCTCAAAATAAATTTTAATACCTAATGCTATATTGTCCTCAAAGCAGGTTGCAGCAATGTTCAGCTCTCTTTGGATTGAGTGCCCATTTCCCCACATCTTTACCAGCATTACATATCAATGTTTTTAAAATTTAAGCTATTTTGTGGTGATCATTTTGCAATATGTAGAAACAATGTATCACTATGTTATGCACCAGGAACTAACATAGTGATGTAGGTCAATTATACTTCAAACAAAATTCATAGAAAAAGAGATCATATTTGTGGTTACCAGAGGAAGGGCAGGGGGGCATTGGATGAAGGTGATCAAAAGGTACAAATTTCCAGTTATAAGATAAATAAGTACCAGGGATATAATGTACAACATGATTAAAACCATTAACACTGCTGTAGGTTATATACAAAAGTTGTTAAGAGAGTAAATCCTAAGAGGTCTCATCCATAAGACTTTCTCAAAAGGAAACATATTCTTTCTTTTTCTTTTCTTTTCTATCTATGAGATAATGGATGTTCACTTAACTTATTATGATAATCATGATATTTGGAAATGAAATCATTATGCTGTATACCTTAAACTTACACAGTACTATATATCAATTATATCTCAATAAAACTGGAAGAAAAATGAAAAAAAAACATGTTTCACAAACCATGTTAGCATCTACTCAATTTTTTAAAACTATTTCTTTATCATATGATCAAATGTGAACATGATAAAATTTAAACCATACAGGAATGTATGTAATTAAGAAATGTCTCCCATAGAATTCACCTTACCATGAGTAACCTCTATTAATGGTTTCTTGTGAGCCCTTTATTTATTGGTACAAATGTTTTCCAAAAATTTTTTTTTTTGCTGGTGAGGGTATAGCTCAAGTGATAGAGCACATGTTTAGCATGCACAAGGTCCTGGGTTCAATCCCCAGTTACTCCTCTAAAAATAAATATATAAATAAATAAGTAAACCTAATTACCTCCAAAAAAATTTTTTTTAAATTTAATTCAAGCATGATACATTCACTGTTTATGTCTTATTTTTTCACTTACTAAATTGAGAGGGATCCAAAAGAAAAAAAAGATTTAATTAAAAAAAGTTTTTAAAGAAACAAAACAAATTTTTTAAAGAGATGGATCCACATCACTACTTAGAAAGGCTCAAGTACATTTTACCAGCTGTGTAATATTATAACCTAAGGATGCACTGTTGTAACTAGTATCTAACTAGTTCCAAGAGATGCAACCCAGATTGTTGGTTTTCACCATTTTCAAAAAGGCAGCAGTATCATACATTTTTGTCCATGTATGCAAGGTTTAGTAGGAGAATTATTTTCCTAGAATTTTAATTGCTAAAACAAAGAACTGAACATTAAAAAAAAAATTGCATTTCTAAGTTCCCTCCAAAAAAGACTATCAACTAGTTTCAGAGCAGACTATAAGTCAATCTTTTTTCTTAATTGATGTAACAGTGATTTATAACATTATATTTCTACTTCTGTATATTCTAGTGTGTCAGTCTGCTATGTATGTGTGTGTGCATGTGTGTGTGTGCGTGAGAGAATATTTTTAACCTCTGCCAATCTGTGACAGGGAAATTCTATTTGGTTATTGTTTTGTGTTACTTTCCATTACTTTTCAGTGAGTTTGAGCATTCATTTCTCCATTAACTCCATTTTCGACAGCATTTCTTGTTCTATAAATGATCTGTTCCAGTCTTTTGCTTGAATTTTAAAAGTTCATTTGTAAAGACTCTTTGTATATTAAGGAAGTTTTTCTTATTGTTCTTTTATCTTTAAGTTTCTTTATCGTTAAGTTGCAAATATTAATCACTAGTTCGTTGGCGAACAGATGTGGAGCTGTGTGTAAAGAAACAGGGGTGGAGGCAGTGTTAGCAGAGACCCCTCCCCTCCCAGGAGCCCAGAGCCCTTACCTGTTGTAAATGGGTCCTTTGAAGGCGGGGTCATACTTCTGTGGTGTTCCTGAAAATCAGCCAGACGGACCAAGATGGGACTGGGAGATCACCCTTCCCCAGAGGTCCCTAGGGGTGTCTTTGGCCACGGGAGGAGTAAGATTCAGAGATCCTGCGGATTTTCTATCAACTGGCGACCACTCACTGGGAGGGGGCTGGAAAGGGGGCCGCCAGCGAGCCCGGTGGAGAGGGGAGGGTCCAAAATAGGATCTGGAAGGTTCCCACAGGAGTACTAGGGAGGTGGCAACGAGGCTCTTCGGAGGACGGAGTTTGGAGGGGCCTCCGGGTGAAGACTGGGGTGAGGGATGCTGGCAGGTGATGATGAGGGGCCTACAGGAAGAGATCTGAAATTCCGCTCGCCCCTCAGCCCCCATCCTCGTCCTCCCGCTGCCCCCTCCAAGTTGCCAGACCCGGGTGCGGGCGGCGGGCGCTGCCTACCGTGCTTCCCGTAGT